CAATCGGCAGGGCCCACAGCCAGCTCCCTCCCCTCACTATTAAAGCCCTGATTTTCTCATGGGTCTCACTCGGTTTCCGGTCGCTGCGTCGACTGGAGGCCCGGGTCGGGTTAGCTAACTCAATAAAGGACCTTCTGCTTTTGCATCGGACTGGCTCTCTGGCATGGTTTCTTGGGGATCTTGAATTCTGGGCATAACATTTTGGGGGCTCGTCCGGGATCCCCAACACCATTGAGGGGACTCCCAGTCCGGAGGGCCTGACTGAACGTGGTAGGTCTTGTTTTGTTTGTGTCGTGTGTTTTGTTTTGTATCTATCCGGTGTGAGCTCACTTCTGAAATCTGTAAATGCCTGTAAATGCCTGTAATAATGATCTGAGTGGATGCACGGGATCAACAGGCGGGAGGAGCCGGGGGACGCCCCGATCCTCCATCTGAAGGGGTATAGCTTTGCTTCCACGGAGTCAGGTCTGTAGGAAACCCCTTAATCTGAGACAGGCAGGAGGAGTCGGGGGGTGTCCCCATCCTCCATCTGAAGAGGGGAAATTTTGCTTCCGCGGAGTCGGAAGGTCTGTAGGAACCCCTCAATCTGAGAAAAGGCGGGTCGCTCCTGCTGGTTGGCGCGCAGCCAATGTCTAGCTTTCGGTTTTTGCTTCCATGGAGTTGGAAGGCTGTACTTTTTTGGGCCCTTTAGTTGTTTGTGTTTCCGTTTTATTTTGTGGACTTGCTGGATTAATAATTTCAAGGAGATTGGGGGAGGCTTTAGAGCTCCCTCAGGAATGGGGAAGTTGTTAGGAATTGAATGGATTGTATAAACTCTAAATGAATGTGGAGGGAGGGGGACTGCTCTCACCCCTCCTTTGTGTGGCGGTCGGGTGGCCGCCTGAGTGAGGGTCTGTGGAAACAGGTCACCCCCTCCCCAAGTATTCTAAAATTAAAATCCTTCTTGTAATTGAAAAGCATTTACAAATTTATAAATGCATCTGGGATTTCTGTGCACATGTAAAGGGAAAAGGCCAGTTTAAAAACGAGTGCGCATAGTTTTGAGCTGAACTTGACCTTTTGCTGTGTACAGAATAAAAACCCGAGACTGTTTTGGCCTTAAAAAAGGCGGAGATGAACCTGACAAAGAAATACAGGCTGGTTTCCCAAGGCGATTTAAAGTAGCTCTTTTGAAATTTCCCGCCCTGAGGCAAGTACCACCAGGAAGTTGATAGTCAAGTTTACATGTGAATAGCTATGGGTTTGTTTCTTGACTTCCCCAGCAGGAAAATTGTGACCATTTTAGCAGCTATGCCAGGCTTATTGGCTGGAAACTTAAAGCTTTTAAGTTCAAATCATCTAAAAGTATTGAAATTTATAATACTGAAATGTTGATCTGAGTATGCCTATTATGAAGTCTAGAAGATAGAAGTTAATCTATTAATTGAAAATGCCTTATATTTTATTTGAAATGTCTAAGATTTAAAGCTCTGAAAGTTTAAAGTGCAAATTGAATCGGGAGAAATTAAATATCTAATGTATAACTTGTTTTTGAAAAAATAGAATGTGTTTTCTCTTAAATGATTAGGAATTCAAAATATGTTACTTCTTGGTCTGATTTTAAAAAGAGGATTAATTTTTAAGATCTCAACTGAAATTTTTAATACAAAAACCAGTTTAAATTTGATTAATATTCTTTAAGATAATTATAAAGGGTATAAACAGCTAATGAGATTTCTGTTTGCCTACAATATAATGTTGGCCATCTACCTTTTAGGGGTTTTGGTTTGCTCTGTCAGAGAACAGTGGACAGCCACAATGTTGAGCTGCCTGACTTGGCAGCCGCCATGTTGGCCGCATGGCATGCCGCACCCCTGGGGGCCGCCATCTTGGAACAGCCCCCCCCTCTGACTTAGCCAATCACAAAAGGAATGTCTGCTCACTGAGGCAGGATGGGATTTCAGGGGTGGAGTTTTAAGGCGGAGTTTTACTGCGGAAATGCGGATGGGGCAAAAAGTGTGCTAGCCTCGTGGATTTATTTAACACTTAATAAATTAGCAATCACGATCTTAATATAATTTCAGTGGTATGATAGCAGAACCACAGTTATACATAATATCATAAACAAATTAAGAGTAATTGATTCCATGGTCAAGACTAAATCCTATTATGTTGAGAACTGTTTTTAAGTGTTGAAAATGTTTTACCTAGGTTACCCAAGAAAGATTTTTCTTTTTTCTGTGTCTCTTAAAATGTATTGCTAATCACCTAAGAATTAAGGCTAAGAGTTCTAGCTACCTGGAAAGCATGGCCTTGGTGTGATAGGAGAAAAAAAAAAAAGAAAGAAATGTTAAGTAAATAATATACCAGTGAGCTGGGACTGGTCACTAATGATGGATTGTGAGAAGGGCTGAACATGGCCTAATTTCTCCTTCCTTGGTACCCCTGAAACGTCAGAGGATCCAATGTGTTTAATCCTCTTGAAGGACATTGAATGGTTCTTTCCTTCCTCTTTAACTTTTAGGGGATTGTATAAATGGATTACTGATGTAGATTATCAAGAATCTCTAAGGGACTTGTCCTGTATCTGGAGGAATGGCTTCTAGATGGTATTCACCGTCTCTGGGACTTCCGGAGGGAAGTCGAAACTCGGACTGGCTAAGGGTGGGGCTCACAGTTCCTCAGGGCAGAGATTCCATGGGCCCTTCCCCCTGCCTTTGCTGAATTAAATAATACAGGCCAGTGTCATTTAGCTTGCTGGTTAAAGGAAAACAATGGACCTTAGAATCTGTAAAGGTGGGCGGGAATGAAGCTGGTCAAATGTACTGAAAGAGTTTGGTACCTGTTGCTGCTAGCAAAGGAGGGGCTGATACCCACTTCTAGCGCACTCCCTTGAAAGAAGCCTGGTTGCTGCTCTGCCACAAAGGGAACCGGTAGAAAGACAAAAAAGCAGAGTGCTGTAACTGATAAACAGGGTTACCTAGAAGCCATCAGGACTTGGAAGTTCTCCAAGAGAGGAGGAATCTGACTCAGAGACTGGTGAGGACTGGGTGGCTTTTCTTTAACAATCTCTTTCCTTGAGAGGGCTCCAGAGGGTGCACGAGGACATTTGGTCGCGCCTCCGCACCATCTATGGGACCAGCCCAACCCCAACTCCTCATCAGCACAGACCAGGAGATTGGGTCTACATCAGAAGGTACTGCTGGGAGACCCTAGAGCCACGTTGGAAGGGTCCCTACACTGTGGTGCTGAAGACCCCCACCGCTCTCAAGGTAGACGGCGTCACGACCTGGGTCCATCCGGAAAGACTTCATCACCAAATGGAGCATCAATCGATCAAGATCAACACAACCCGCTCAAGCTCAAGCTACGGAGTGCTTGACCTGCCTGATGCCGGTAACATGACTCGCGATCGCTCCTGTCACCAGGAGCCCCCACAATACTGTGTAATACACTTAGATAATGCCTGCATCTTCATGGACATGGCTCCAAAGAGACAAGGACCATTTATAGGATCACATGTTTAGTGGTAGATTTGGCTACCTGAAGCGGCCATGATGCCAATATTATGTTTCATTGTATTGATATGTTATATTAACCTTTGATTCTTTTGCAGGTTTGAATGTATGTTGGCTGTCCTGGAAGGGAGCTGTGTGGGGTGACCCCCAAAAGTAAAGGGTGTCTAGCTGCCAAGAGGACAAGTGCCCAACTGGGCAGGGAAGGGTGCCCATCAGGTTTTGGTCTCTGTTGAGAGACAGCTAACAGTTGACAGCCTGTAATACTGTCTTGCAGGCCTGAGTCACCATGCCCATGTCAGGGGTAGTAAAGCTGGAAAAAGCCTGTTTAGACTAGAAAGTCCGAGGCATAGACCAACAATTACTGTTTTGTTTTAAATCCATGAAAAGAAATTAGCAAGGAAAGTCAGAAAATCTTAGAGTAAATCAGTATGTTTTTCTCCTTATGTAATTCCTCCAAAATCTGGCAATGCTAAGTAAGTACGTTTCTTTGCATAGATTCAGTAAGACTGGTGCCTAGTAGTGGTTTTATTAACGGAAAACTTTGACTGGAGTATCATGTTTTAAAGAGCCCTATCTGAGCTCTAAAGACTTGAAGCCACTAAGAATGCCACGAAGAAAGCCTGGTATCCTGCCTGGGAGCCCTGAAGACGGCTGGCACTGGAACGTCAGGCCCATGCCCTACCATCACTGGCGGTTGGTAAGAGTAGAAGGGGAGCAGTAAAGATGCCTCTGCATCCCTGCAGAACCCCCACACACTCTGGGCCGCAACGAGTAGGAGGGCTACTGAGATGGGCCTTAAAGCCTGGAGCATGGGCTCAGGTGGAGTTGCTACAGGTGAGGGATTCACCTAACTCAGCAGATACTGCAGGCAGGCCTGATGGCAGCTGGATGGCTTGGCTTCCTGGCCCTATGGGGCACATTAAGGTTCAACCATGAAATTCCAGCAAAGGTAGTCAGTTACCATTCTTGTTGTGTTTATGCAAACATCAGGACAGTAAATAAATTAATCTTTATTTGGCTTTTTAATAGCCATGGAGGAATTTTAAGAAGAAAAATCCTATTTCAATAGAAGTTGTTAAAGCTAAAATGGTTTCTTTCCCTTCCACCGGACCATTTAAGTGTATAAAATAGTTCAGTTGATAGTTCTGTGTGCTCACTACGGGCCCCTAGCGACGGTGAAATAAAAGTGCAGTCCGTCTCATGATTGAGCCGGAAGTTCCAAGACAAGGGGGGAATGAAAGGGCAGAGGCCATGTGCTCAGAAAAGTGCCTTCTTCCCGAGTCCAGGCCCCTGCTGGCCACGCCCAGGATTTCTTTGAACTAACCAATGACAAGCAAGGGATGTGCGCGCCATAGAGATGACCACATCCTGTGTAACAAGACCCGACTTGCGCCTGGCCAATCGGCAGGGCCCACAGCCAGCTCCCTCCCCTCACTATTAAAGCCCTGATTTTCTCATGGGTCTCACTCGGTTTCCGGTTGCTGCGTCGACTGGAGGCCCGGGTCGGGTTAGCTAACTCAATAAAGGACCTTCTGCTTTTGCATCGGACTGGCTCTCTGGCATGGTTTCTTGGGGATCTTGAATTCTGGGCATAACAAAAGAGACCCTTTCATAGTTTTTCAAGTAAGAAAGTCACTACAGTGTAGGAGCTGCCTCAGAAATTCATATTAAACCTGTTCTTTATAATCTTTATAGTGTAAAAAGTTGTGATAGCCAATATTAAAATTAACAAGTTTTATAGGCCTAGAGAATTATACTGTTAATCAAGTAATATAACTAAAGTTGAAGAGTTAAAGGGGGATCAACAGCACATAGAGAACTTAAAAACTGGTGATAGGGATCATTCAGAGCATAACACAGATTTGAAAAATCTGAGAGCTATGAATTAGAGCAATTCTGTCATATAATGAAAAAGAAGAAAAGCTGGGAATACAACTTTGCTAATGAATATGAACTGAATATGTATTTCTGTGTTCCCTATGGTTCATAAACAAAAACATTTACATCAAAATGTGTTTCTTTTACATTTTAATTAAAACAAAATGGTTCTAACAAGATGAATTTTGGTTGCTGACTTCTATCACACGAAAGGACAGATCTCCAAACCATTTTGTTAATTGGAGAAATGATATTCTGACTGTCGGCCTCACATATCATTCTGAGCTCTTTAACAATTGGATAATATCACAAGTGAGCAAACATTTTCAGCATTTTCTTTTAAAAATTTTTGGCTGTGTTTTATGGATTTCATAATCTGGGACTGTGTCATTTAAATGAACTAAGCGTGCTGAAACCATTCGAGAACTTGTAAACTTTCCAGTGCAGCTTTCTCGACGCTTGTTAACCCCTGGAGCAGTACATGGTCTTGCATGTTTCAACCGATCATGGCTCTCATCTGGGTTCTTTTCTAAAAGCCTTGCTCTTGATTTCACTTTTTCAAGATGCTGAAATGAGGTCATAGGAAGATCCTCCTCAAATCTATCCGAACAATCCTAAAATTAAAATAAAAGATCGAGTTGGTGAGTTAGGCTTCCTTAAAGTATATTTTACATTTATAAGAACCAAAGTTTGTAATATCAACAGTCAAAGACAAAAAATGAGAGCATCAAATGTTTTATAGGTAAAACCTTCCACCAATGCCTCCCATTAGAAAATACAGAAATCTTGTAATACTACCAACAATAAATAGATATAAATAAATAACCAAATAAATAGAGATGAGAATGTAGAACCGCAAAAACAAACAAAAAATCACAACCATCTTTCAGTCCCCTGGTGTGTTTCAGTAGTTGAGCATCAACTCATGAAGTAGGAGGTCGAGGTTGGATTCCGTCCCTCCCTCCCCTGGTCAGGGCACATGCCGGGTTTATGGCTCAATCCCCAGTAGGGGGCGTGCAGGAGACAGTGATCGATGATTCTCATCATTGATGTTTCTGTCTCTCCCTTTCCTTTCCTCTCTCTGAAATCAATAAAAACATATCTTTAAAAAAATCTATTGTTTCAAAGGATCTGTTATTTCAAAAGGCATGGAAGATATAAAGCTTGAAACCAGATAAATTTAGGGGTCAGACTCCTAAGCAAGGTTGAACAGCCTCCTGTTCTATAATTCTCCTCTTCCAAAATACATCTTCCCCAGTCCCAAGTATAAATTATAAACTCTTATATTTGACTTTTTATGTTATCCCAACTTTCATTCCTTAAAAGCTGATAAACATCTTTAATGCACACACATGCACAGAGTTCAGCATCTAAGGATATGGTTATAATGTTTATATTAAAACAATTTTAAAATTGTGTATATTTTGAGAGTAAACAAGTAAGACATTCAGGAAAATAAAAGATATATACCAAAATAATTTTTTAAATGGTGGCTGTGTTAGGGTGGCGGGATTATGGGCTTTGTTTTCCTTTTCAAATTTTTAATAATATGGCTATATCTTATAATACTTTACAAGTATGCGCATAAGAGAATATGGAGCTATTAGTCATTCTCAAATTAGTGTAAACCAGTTTCCCCTGCAGTTTGAGAAGCTTGTCTCTTAACACTTCAGAAAGATGGCCACACCAAAGAAATGGGCTGCTTTCCTTTGGAGAGGAAGTGGGCGTGTATTATTAGAACTGGAGAGCTGGGGGAGGGTTGGCAGGGCTAAGAATTAGACAGCAGTAAAGAGATTTACAAAAGAGGAGGTACCACGAGGCTAAAGGGAAATGTGACCCACTTTACAATTTTGCCTGGGTTTGCAGAGGACAAGCAAGCCTTCTCCCTCTTCCCTCTCATGCACATAGAGCAATTAGGTCAGCCCAGCATTAAGGGAGCATCTGCTACACTGGCGAGTGATATGTAACTTGCTTCACAGTGGATGTACTGTTGCTAGAGGACCAGTGGAAGCGCATGGAGCTGCGGCCCCCCACCCGCACCCCCCCTCCTCCCTGCCCTTTTCTGGATGCTCCTGTAACTCAGTTTTTCAGTCTTTTGTTTTGAGTTCTTTGGGAAATTCTTGAATTTTAGAGAATCAGATGAGCCAGACATTCTGATGATCTGAAAAATTCCCTCTTACCATTTATTCTCTGTTGCCAATGTCACTAGAGAGAAACGTTCAGGTACGGTTGGTTTAAGAGAGGGAAATAAAGATGACTCAATCTCTCTTGCCCACTCTTAGGATAAGGATTCTGAGACCCTATATGATCTCATAACATGTAATATAAACACAATTTTTTTGTTTTGTTTGAAAGTGATACTAATGATTCCACTTGACTAAAACTTCAGCCTTTCTTTTCTGAAGACTATAAACCCATTTTTTCCTATTCCTAGTGCATACAACCCCTCACTCATTTGATACTAAATTATTGAATTCAGATAGAAAAGAGAAATCCAATGTTGAGAGTATAAGCTATATTAATAATATTTACCCTGCTACTAATTTTACTACTTACTAAAGCTAAATATTTGCTTTACCCTGGAAAATCAATTTGCTATGGACCTAACTGGTTTGGCTCAGTGGATAGAGTGTCAGCCAGACTAAAGGGTCGGGATTAATTCTGGTCAAGGACATACCTCGGCTGCAGGTTGGATCCCTGGCCCTAGCCGGAGCTCATGCAGGAGGCAACCAATCAATGTGTCTCTCTCACATGGATGTTTCTCCCTCACTGTTTCTCCCCATCCACTCTCTAAAAATCAATGGGAAAATATCCTTGGGTGAGGAAAAGGAAAGGAAAGGAAGGGAGGGAGTGAGGGAGGGAGGGAGGAAAAACAATTTACTATGGAAATTCAACTATTTTGAACTTAAATCTATTTTCTCAAAGATAGAATTATGCATATCAAATTACCATTACAATGTAAGAATTTACATTGTAGGTCATGCCTGTTTATATAGATAAGAGCTGGGGTCAAGAAAATAAAATACATCCCTTCCATTCCTAGAATAGTTTGTATAAAGTCTAATAGCAGATTTACCTTCCTGTTTTATGTAATATTAAAAATAGATTTGAATTCCCAAATTTGTCAGCATACAATATAGCAGTGGGGTGGTGGTTAAAAAAAAAAAAAAGAGGCTAGAAAATAAAATTTTGCACTTCATAATTTGATTGTAAATATTGCATACCCTAATGCTTAGCAGAACAACTGGCACATAATAATATATTTGTTCACTGAAACAGGTGTTCAGTGACCTGAAAAACCTTATATATTTCCATAGCATACAGCCACTGCCAATGGTTGTTCGGATTGTGCCTGTACAATGGCCCCTGACTCGGGGGTGAGCTGGGGCTGAAAGCCAGCCAGTTTCTCATGGACAGGGCTTGTGCTCTGGCTCCAGGCTGGGTCAGCCTGCAGAATCTTCCCAGAGGGAAGGGTGCCTTTTCCTAATGCTCCAGAGGGTGTGCCCTTTATCTATTTTACACAAAGGTACTCATTACACAAAGGTACTCAATGTGTTAACAGTCCCCTGGTTTTGTGATTACATTTGGGATGAGGTAAGATGATATTTGAATGTCAGAAGGATTTTTTTTTAAATTTGGAGATCTGTACATCTTGGGGCAACAAAGGTTACACACACACTTGCATGCAGATACACCTATGTATAAATATATAGATATAGATATCCTACAGATTATTTACAGAACTTCGCAAAATACAGAGGGAGAAGACTAGAAAAGCGTAATTACGTGTATCGTTCTTCTTGCAGTCCAATGAAGCAATGTCCGTGGGACAGATTTCCTGGGCCTTTTCCTGGTGGGCGGCGTGGGTGCTAGTATCTTCACCGTCTTAGGTGACTTTGTTTGTTTGTTGACACGGTCTCTTTCTTTTCGGACCTTGGGATTTAGATTTCCTCTCTTCAATACTTCTGGGAAGAGGGATGGTTTTGAGTTTTTCTCAGCTTCCACAACTTTATATTTAAACGATTCAAGGACCTTTGCACATTTTTCATTGCAAATTTCACTTGGTTTTATATAAAGAGTTTGTATTTCTTTTTCAGAATGTGCAAGTGTTTCTAAATGTTGTTTTTTATTATTGTTATTATATCCTTTCAGTCTCTGACAATGGTTGTTCCCAGCCTCTGAACTGAGATGAGTTAAAGTGTTCCTCTGCCTGGGAGGAAACGTGAATTTACCTACGTCTTCTTCATCTTCACTTGGCAGTTTGCAATAAGGAATTCTAACATTCGGTGGCAACAATACTTCATGTCTTTCCTGTACCATCAATTTATAGATATTCTGCTCCTTTTTTTCAAGGGACTTCATTTTTAGTGTGCTTTCAAAGCAAGTGTTTGATTGAGTTATTTCTGATTTACCACTCCAACTCTGTGGATTTTGAATCTCTGTATTAAAATCAAAATGTTCTGCTTCAGAAAGCTGCACAAAACCATGTGTTTTCCTTTGTTTCTTAAGCACCATGTCTGTAGGACTTTCTGATGACTTCTTTGATGGAATTGCTTGGGTATTTTTGTTGGAAGAAGGTTGTACTTTAATTAAAGTCAGTGTTTTCTGTTCTCTAATTATTGCTGGATTTTCTTTAGTATTCTGTAAGGGAAAATACTCTTTTTCATCCTTCCTGGTCAGTTCTGTTTCTACAATTCTATCCTCAGATGCCTTTTGTAAAGTAGCTTTATGAACAACTTTTGGATATTTATTTTGCTTTTCCGAATGCTCATTCATAAATTTATTTTCATCTCTGAAAGATAAATCTGGCTTTATACATTTTAATGGTGTGAAACTAGACTTAATCAAATTTATACGGTTGCTGATTCCCTTTAATTGCCTTTCAGTGATTAGTCCTGATTTTGAAAGTTTATCTATAAAAAGTACCTGAAGGTATTTCCTTAAATCAGCTTTTAGATTTAATAGTTCATTTTCTGATAAACCTATAAGATGGTTTTGCAGAGATTTATTTACAGGATATTTCATGTTTATTTCAAGCCTTCTGCCAAAACTCCCCTTTGAAATGTCTTGTCCTAACTCATGAAAAGATATTGAAGAACTTTTAGTTCTTAGAGAAGGTATGTTTGAGTGCATAGGTTCAGATTCTGTCTCTTTAAATAAACTGCTTTCCGAAAGATTTTTTAGGAAATAGTTTTGCAGAATTTCATTTAAAAAGGATCTCAGCCTTATTTCCAAATTTTTATCTATAAAATGATGATTAAAATTATTTACAAAAGACATCGTTTCTTTTACAATTTCTGAATATTTCTCCAGAGAAACATTTTGCTCTTTTGGTTCTGTTTTCTCATTTATCAAATACAGATTTTGATAGATTTTGGGTAAATCCTCTTTGGTGATATGTCCTGATTCTGAAAGTCTTTCTACAAGGTAATGCTGGATATGTTTGCTTACCTCAGATTTAAATTTTTTAATTTCTGACTCTGAGAGTGTATCTAGAAATACACGCAGCTTTGGATTCAAATTAGGTTTTCTGTCTAATTTGTCTGCTTCATCAAAATTCTCTTTGATTTCTTCAAGGTCTTCTGCATTATTTAGAAAAGGATGTTGGATTAGTCTCTCTAATTCTTTTTCTGGTTGTCTTCCCTTTTCAGACTGATTATGTTTTAAAAAAACATTAAATATGTTTTTGAAAAAGGATTTTAACATTGTTACATCTGACTCATTAAGTTTACTCATTAACAAGGTACTTAAATTTTCTAAGGTAGAACTTAGATCATTTTCTTCTCTATCAAGCCTCTGACCATTACTTGGCAAATCTGTTTTTTCATCTGGTGTTGACTGATATTTTGTGTCTTGTGGGGAGGTATTTTGGCCTTTGTCTATAAATGTGGCTCTATTCAAAAAAGAAGTGGTTTCTTTGGGGATGATGGGTATATTCTGCTTTGAAAGAAAATCTGTTTTGCTCTTGATTTCTGAATAAACTTCTGTGGAGTCCTTTGGCTTTTCTCCAGCAAAGGCTGTCTGTGTGTGCAGCAAAGAACCCTTCTGGTCTTCACCTAATTCTACCACTTTGATGATCCCAGATTCTAAAAGAGTATCTACAGAAAATGCTTCAATTATCTGGCTTGCAACAGATTTGGCCTCTGGCAATTCTCTCCCATCATCATTTTCTTCATAGTGACCTGGAATATTTGAAGATAAACTCTCCCAAGATATGGGTAATTGATTCTGCCAGTTCATCTGTGTCTCACTCAATTCTTCCGCTCCCATAGCCAACTTGGAGAGGAATGGGGCAGTGAATATCTGCTTGATAATGTAATCATGCGCGATGCTATTGAAATCTGGTTCGGGGCTAGACACTTCACTTTCTAAATGTTTCTTTTTGAAACTACTTTTTTTTATTATTGGAAAAGCTATATCACAGTCCTCCAAGTGGTTTTCAGAGACGAGGTCCCTTTCTATCTCTGGAGAATTTCCTGGCCCAGCTTCTGACAATGAAACTCCAGAAATACCTTTAGTTTTTGGATTTACAGGAGACTCTGAATTCAAAATATCTTCTTCTGAAAGCCAGTTATTTAAATCTTGGATTTTTTCAAGTATTTTGTCTTCCAAACTTGGTGGTTTATCATGAACACTCAGAAGTGGAGAACTATGGCTTTTCTCTCTTGCTTCAGTGCCGTTAGGAATTTTTGGTTTAAAAAGTAATTTATCTATAAGGTCTTCAAGATTTTCACTTAAATTTGGCTTGAGCACCACTGACTGTTTTAAGTTGTCTAGGAGGGAAGTAAAACTTAATGATCTTGAGGGGCGACCTGTATGTACATCTACATTTCCAGTCAGTGATGATTCTCCTTCAAAGTTTGGCAAAGATGCAGCTGGCAGTCTTTCCTTCAAGTGATTCTTAATATCTAAACTCTTTATTGTGGTGGTGGTAGGCTCACCGTCTAAATTATTCTTACTGCTTAAAGTCTGTATTGTGATGATATCAGGATCAGGGGCTAACTTTTTCTTAGTGTCTACAGTCTTAGCGTCTACAATGCTGCTATCAAGACCACTGGGCCAGTTTGTATCAGTAGGGCTTGGAGGTTTTGAATGTATTGGGTAAGGAGGATCTTGGTCCTCATGTTCTATAACCTCTGTACTTAAAGTGTTTCTATATTTGGACATATCTTGGTAGCTCCTTTTAGTGGCTGATATTTTGTTGTTTGAAAGCCTTAGAAAAGGATCCAAACTGTCCTTGATGTTGAGATTCTGTAAAATTTAAAAAAAGGTAAGACATTCTGTAACATTTATTTTGAATTTATAATACATTTTCTAGCTAAGTCTTTGAGCAATCTGTCAGTCTATCTATTCATCCTCCTACCTTCTACAAACAGAAAACTAACTTTAATTATTTTAAAAATATTTGAAATTTTAATGCAAAATTTTTCAGTTTCTAACTCTGATACTATTCTGTGTCAAAGCTTTTTCCTACCTGGAATGTTTGTAAATACTTCACAAATAGTAAAGAATTCAACTTCCAGTGTTAGCTGCATTTGCTTAAACATAGGCTAACATCAGGATCCATACAAACATTTATCGTTTTAGTAAATTAAAAAAAAAAAGTGTAGTAGTATATATCCCAGTGAAAATATCAGGAATATTCTTTAAAGGCTGACTTGGGGGCATATATCACCTGCTCTTAAGTCTGAGAATTTCAACCGTGATGAGTTCCATTCAACCCTTAGAACATCACAGTAAAATCTTTTTGATGAATACTTTATATGCGTCAGAAATGGTTAAGAGACAGCAGTACACAAAATTCTGGATTACAGTAAAATTTCAGTGTGACATCCATAGACAGTTTTGTAGCTCTGGAATCAAACTATTTCATCACTGAAATAGCCTTCAAAATGAAGTCTCTTATTCAAAACTTTTGTTCAAACAACTTCTACATTATCTATCCAATTGAAAAAAAATAAAGTGTGAAATAATCAGCCTAGAATTTTAGTTCATGTCACCTTAGTAGTCCAAGCTTCATTTTAATGGATACAATTCATTATAACTGGTTTTCAAATGCTAGTTGATACCCAGGTGACAGCATAAGAATCCCCTTAGGTTTTTTGAAAAGTAAAAATTCCTAGGCTCCATTTCTAGACTGAGGTTCTTAGGTCAGAGGTGGGACCTGGGAATATGTATTTTTAAAAGATAACCCTGTGTTTCTAATGAGCATTTTGGTTCTGGGGCCATTGAATTACATAATGTATTAGAAAAGCCTAATAGTTGAGTATGATTGGTATTGGGATAGGATAACTCAGCACTCACCTGATATTTTGTTTTGGATTCTGTATGTTCTGGTTTCAAAGGTGGTAACAAGTATTGTTTTTGTAAAAAAGCCACCTTATAAAAAGAGAAGGTTTAATTTTGGACTGCTTGTAATGAAAGAATATTTCCCAAGTTTCTCATAATGTTATATTTTTCCAATTATCAAAATAAATCTGTATATATAGGTATACAAATATATATTCTTAGCTTCATTGATGCTGTAATATTTATTCTATTGAATTTATAAAACCAAAATGATGTACAATTTCAAGGAGAAACAACAGTAGAAAACAGAATTGTCAGAACAAATTGTAATTTAATTTTAAAAGGTTTTGAAATTCTTTAGATAACAAATGGCATTTGAAAATATATTGAAATCACATTCTCAGTGATTCTCAGGAGACAGAAAATGAAACCTTTTAAAAAATCTTTTTCATAATTCATAGAAGGAAACTGGTAGACACTGTCCATTTGGTTTACATATCAAGAAATATTTTAAATATATTCTTAAAGATAACCATTAGAAAAATAAAAATTAATGCCTAATAGCACTGAGAAAAATTATAGAGGGAAGATTTGAAATATTATAAATGCTCTAAAGCACTCATCTTTCCAAGTGTAATATCAACACACTTTACCTGAAGTTGGTAAGTTGAAAAATCAAATAGGCTTTCAGTAAGTTAAAATTCTAATAAAACTTGCTGGAAGAACTATAAAGCAAACGGTTAAAAGTAGTCACCCTAGGGAAATGAGAATGGTAGCATGGTTGTGGGTAGAAAAGGATAACTTTCACTTTGCATTTATACACTTTTGTGCCGAAAGAATTTTTGGGGGGCTGCGCAGGTATAGCTTTAATTTTTTTTAAAAAGGCTTATAAAACTTATAAATGTAAAAATTATATAGGGAAGTCTTAATAGGGCATTAATTAAATAATTGTACAGGCTCACAATGAGAGACAGTAGAATTTGGTGGTTTGCAACACAGACTCCAGAGCCAGTCTGCCTGTGTTCAAAACTCAAGTTTACCACATGATAGCTACGTGTCCTTAGACAATCAGCCCCTCAATCAATCAGCATAATTTCCCTACATATAAAATATAGTAAAAATATGTACCTCATAAAATTGCTGTGAGAATTTAATGAGTTAATATATGAAGACACTAATATAGTAGCTTGCAATAAGAGTGTTGGCTATTATTATTAAAATAACATTTTAGCCATTTAAAGCAATTAAGTAGAAATAAAGGCTATATAGACAATGTGATATTAAGTGAAAATTAAGATGCAGAACAATATTGCTAGTTTATCATGATAAGCAATCTGGAAAAATGTTGGTGGCATATAGGAAAGTCTTTTTGCAAAAGTGACTCAAGTGGAATAAGAAAATTTTGAATGGACAATATTATTAAATATAATTAAAATACATCACTGCATTTTTCAAAATTCACTGAGCTGTATTTCACAAAGAGTAAACATTAACGTATGCAAGCTAAAATTAAAACAATAAAAGCAGGATGTTGGGGGTCAAGAAATAATGCAGACAGTGAATCTAACTATTACAAATGTAAGATATAACCAACCTAAGGGAGTAGGAGAAAAAAAACTGATCTTGGTAACTGGATGCTTTGACTAGAAATGTAAGGCTAAAGATAAAATGAACTGTACATAAACAATGTATGTGCACCAGTAGGTAAATTTGTTTGTCATGGGTATAGTACAAGTTAGGAATTCTGAAATTGCTATGTATATATATACAGATATATGTAAATAAATCGATAGTGAATGGTGAGATCCATATTTCTCATGATTAGAGACAGAAGTTACATTATAGACAGACAAGAAAGGAAGACTAGAATAAACCAGGGTGTGGGATAATGGGTACTTTCCTACAATTGGGGTGTTAATACAAATTAATAAGTTTGGTTTAAAGGGTAGTCTGGCAGCTTTTATGAGAATAAAATGTGTGCGTATACTTTGACCCAACAATTCTACTTCTCATATTTATCCCGTAATATACTTATACAGGTGAAAAAAAAGATAATTCTTACCATTTAGAAAGTGACTATTATGTTCCAAGCCCTTTAAAATTCTTTGAAATAAATGATAGCATACTTATTTTGCAGATGAGAAAACTGAAACGCAGACGTAAACTGCCCAAAGTTATATGACCATGGAAGTAAAAGAATCTAGATATTTCTACCTGTAAAATCCAAGCTCTTTTACTATTTCATATTAATTTCTCTTACCATCATCAAACACTGCCTTTCACTGGTGGGTGAAGTTAAATTCCTCATCCCTCCCTACCTTTCTTGCATCCTGATATATTTTAGGATCTAGTCCAGTGATGGCGAACCTCTGACACGCGAACTCATTTTTTTGGTTGATTTTTCTTTGTTAAATGGCATTTAAATATATAAAATAAATATCAAAAATATACATGTTTGTTTTACTATGGTTGCAAATATCAAAAAATTTCTATATGTGACACGGCACCAGAGTTAAGTTAGGGTTTTTCAAAATGCTGACACGCCGAGCTCAAAAGGTTCACCATCACCGATGTTGTTAGGGTTTAAATAGAAACTAATTAAGCCATATCTGGAAAGTCTTAATTTATGAAGAGGCTCTAAAAATGTGAAGAAACTACTGAAAGACTGTCACCTGAATCAGTCAAGAGTTGAAAGAAAGGTTAGTCCTTTCCAACTCAGATTAGCACTTCAGAAGTTTGTCTCAAAATACTGCATTTTTTTTTTTAAAAAAATATGTTTTTATTGATTTCAGAGAGGAAGGGAGAGGGAGAGATAGAAACATCAATGATGAAAAAGAATCATTGATCGGCTGCCTCCAGCGTGCCCCACACTGGGGATGGAGCCCACAACCTGGGCATGTGCCCTGACCAGGAATCGAACCATGACCTGCTGGTTCATAGGTCAATGCTCAACCACTGAGCCATGCTGGCTAGGCAAAATACTGCATTTCTTTAATACACTACCTTAGTTCATTTTTTAAAAACCCTCTTTTTTCAACTTCTAACAACTTCAAAATTTATTTTACCATAAAATTCTGAGGATTTTTTTGACTTGTCTGTGAAGCAATTAGCTTAGACTTTTTGGAATTTGTTCAAGAATTCTGATATGTCTTCTTTAGAAGCCCGTTGCCATAGGTGATGGATTCTTTCAACCTTCTAAATCTACTGATTGTACATAACCTATGTTGTATGGATTACCCACTGAATTTATCTTGTTCAATTTACTTTAGTTTCATTTGCCATATACTGGTCTGACTACCACCTTTAAGAAATACATTTAAGGTAAGTTTTTCTTTTATTTTTTGAAAATTCAGCTCTTTATTTGGAAATACTTGTTGATTTATGTGCAGGTGTAAGACATAACACAGAGAGCCTATGTACCCTTTATCCAGTTTCCCTCAATGGTAACATCCTGTGAAAATAGTAGAATATCACAACCAGGGGACTGACATTATAAGGTCAAGTTGAAGCACATTTCCACAAGGATCCCCAATGTCCTTTTATAGATAGTAACACCCACTTCTTTTCTGCCTCCACCACCTACTTAGTGCCTGGCAACCACTGTTCTGTTATTCATTTTTATTATTTCAAGAATGACATGTAAATAGAGTCATACAATGTATATCATTTTGGGATCAGGTTTTTTTCACTCAGCACAATTCTCTGGACATTTGTCCAGGTTGTTGTATGTAACAATACTTTGTTCCTTGTTATTGCTGAGTATTATTCCATGGTATGGATATATCACAGTAATAGCCATTCATCAATTGAAGGACATCTGGGTTGTTTCCACTTTGGGGCTATTATGAATAAGGCTGCTATAAATATTTATATTCAGGTTGTTTTTGTAAACATAAGACTTAATTTCTGTGGGATAAATGCCGAAGAGTGTAATTGTTGGGTTACATAGCAGTTGCATATATAGTTT